GAAAGAGATGAACACATGTAGGTAAGCATTCTCAGGAAATCATGACAAACGGTATGAAAACTGGACTCAAATATTCTGCTTAGTGACCACATAGAATGTAACAGACTTCAGAGTACTCATGTAAATAAAAATAATTACTTAACGGCCACCATATGTATTGGAATGACATTGCAGACAACATTTTGAGATTTATCATATTCTGGGGATTGAGATGTTAAAAACAAGCAGAAAAAAAAAACATTGTAAAACACAATTCATGTTAAAAAAAAACCAAAAAACAAAACACCAAACAAAACATTCCCTGACAAGCTGATTTTTTATGTTCCTTGAGAAGGTCAAATATGGTGTGATGCTGTTTATCAGAAAGTTCTGACATCCGGGAGTTTGTCTGCAATTAGAAACTGGTTTGGGAATAAAAAGACCAGAAAAAAAATTTGAAGATATGCTTACAGAAACAGTTAATCGGGGTTTGTCTGGTCAGAGATGTACTTCCTGATTATCAGTGGGAAAAATCACTGCTAGATTGCCTGGCATGTGATATCGATCTGAGGTATATAATATACACGTTTACAAATTGTTTATTGAAAAAACTATTAAAGAACTTGATTATTACTCTTAAGGGATGTCTACCTTTATAGTGCTTGAAAGGAAGCAGAAGACTCCTTGGAGAGGCAAAGGAATTGGTTTATAAACAAGACAAACAAGATGTTGTTCTTGTAGCGCAATTAACAGAAGTCCAGTGTGTGAAGAGAGACAAGGGGGAACAAAAGGAGGAAAGGATACTTTTTGGTGGTCAATAAGACTCTTACATTGTAGAAACAGGCAGAAAATTCTTTAGTTTGGAGTGCTGAAAATTTTTACAGGCTGAGTAAAACTCGAAGGAGCTAGTAAAAGTATCCGTCTTTATTTTGAAGAAACTGCAGAAAAACAGACAAAGGACTGCAGTGTGATGTAGTTTCACAATACAAAGGTGGTCCAATGATATGATTAAATCAATACAAGTCCTTTGGTAGAAGCTAAGTGAAAAGCATGGCAGAAAGAAAAGGCTCAGATATGAATATTAGAAACAAAACTGAGCATCATTGAAAATTTAGTTCTAAGAATAACCAGCTGGTTCAACTAAGCTGAATAATCAACACCATCATTTGTTCCTGATGGTGCAGTGAATTTGTAAGTCATTAAAGACAGAAGCTTGGGCAACAAAATGTGAGGGACTGTTATAAAGCTAGATACAGAATATCATAATAGGAAGATGGCAGCTAGGGTTGAAACAATTCAACCAGACATAGCTAAATAAGCTAAAGAGATAGTGTAGCCTCTTTAAGGATGTGACAATCTGTTTAAAGAGAGGGGAAGGATAAAGTATTAGGTGGTGTATGGATGCATCTGTAAAAATCACTTGTGATATAAGTCTCCCGATAAGCTCCACAATAAGGAGCTGGACAGTGTAGAGATCTATCTGATGTCATTATAGGCACAAATATAATAAAAAATGTTATTGCTATGGGAGAATCTGTCTCTGCATATGTACATTGGAAGACAGCTCCTAATGATGATGACAAGTTATTCTTGGCTGTGATAAGTGTTAGTTTTCTTTATCAGATGATCACAGAACAACTCTACTTTCTGTAAGAAATCTATTAATGCATTCTTTAAAACCAAATAGTACAAGCTAAAAACTTCTAGGAACTGTATTTCATAAAATGGCCTTGATCTTAATGGGTACTCTAAGTTACATTTATGTTGTTTAGGGAACAGAGGTTCCAGAAAGGACTGAAGCTACTAGAATGGGTCTCCAGTCTCATAAATATAAACCTGCACCTTCTCTGTTAAAAAATAAGTAGAGAATACAAGACAACACATGGTAATGGGCAACTGGAGGAGAACAGATCTGATTAATATTTTACAGATACAGGGTATCCTAGGAATTCTGATTAAATTTTAATAAGTAACTTTTCTTTCCAACTTGAAGAAGAAATACTGTATAGAATAAGAAGTTTCATCTTCACAATATTACTTGCGTAAATTATAATTTCAAATTCATGCAAAACATAAATTATTAAAAAGGCAAGTAAAAATCAAACAAGACTATTATAAGTTATTTATCTGTTAAATTAGCAAATTCTTTTTTCCCCCTTGTTTTAACTTCTTTAAGGTTGCAATAAATTTACTTCATTGTTTTCAATTTGCAGTGACACATTAAATAGGTACAGATGAACTACTGATAAATTAAATCGTGCTATCTGAAACACCTGATATTTCAAATGCTAATGGATTGGTTTAAAAAATATTGAAAATTTATAAAAACTTTTCTCAAGACATCACTTTCCACTAGGGAATTTTAAAATTAAATACCATCCAAAAACTATACACCAAAACTTGTTTTAAAAAATAGAAAGGTATTATGTCCTGAAGTATAGAGTGTTAGTACTTTATTCCTAATAGAATTTTCTGAAGTATGCTCACCTGTCTGTGCTGTATGATGTTAAGTTACCTTCATCTGCTGATTTTCTTAAATAGCATCTAAAATAAATTTCCTTAAGCAAGTAGCTGCAAACAAGCCTGCTCTGCTGTCTTACCTGGCTATATCTTGTTTACTGGGCCCTCCAAGACATACAGTGATTCTTGGACCTGCTTGACTATGAGTAACTTTGCCTTTCAGTTTTCTTCTTGCTACATACACTCCATTAGTTCTTCACAATTTATTCAGTGCACAAGCATTAGTTCTACCACTCAATAATATAAGAAATGAAAAAGGTATTGCTGTAACAGGCCTAAATAAAAGTATAGGATGCTTTTATATTTTACTCTATTAAGTTGGTGAAAGCTCTTCCGTATCAAAGTGAATTAAATATTTATCAGTATGTTACACAGGATATCTCTTGACTTCTTGATGGAAATGAAAACTCCTTCCTTCACTCCAATAGATATTATGTAGTAAAAGTCCCAAAGCACAGAGATCACATTATATTTTAAAACTACAATTTTATGTTACCAACAAAAGCAATTAATGAGCTACTGGTGGTTTTGTACCATTGTCAAAATCAAAACAATATCGTTCTTGGATGATTCATTATATTATTGTCACTCATTTCCAGGCCTGTGAAAAATGACAGTAATTCATTGAGCACTTCTTATACCACTTGATGCTGTAAATATATGGTTTATTGGTTATTCATTGTGTTCCCTGGCTTTCAAGTGTCATATTGCCAATTTATTTTTTCCCAGGAAAATTTATGCTGCAAAGCTAAGAACCAGTGCTTTATGGCTAGCCTTAGACAAATACCTATTAGTATTTCCAGCACAATTAGGTAAGCAGTGATTTCCTTTTACTCTTCACACCCACTGTGACATCTTTGAGTTGTATGATGCACATACTATGAAAGCACAGCTGATATTTGTGGGGAGGAAGATGAAGGTAAAGTGAGAGTTGAAGGTACTTTCCCTAGCACTCATGGCTTATCAAGCTCTTTAAGTGCCACCAAGTCACTGGCTGTGCCCAGGTGCCTCAGCAGAAAGAAGGTGACCATAAATGAGCACATGGCTTTCCCCAACAGTACGGGTAGGCAATTAACATGAAAATAATACTACTAAGAGCTCCAAAACATGGGACAAAAGCATTGCATTTTGATTCTAATCCAAAGCAATGATGTGATAAAATTTACTTAGTGACAATTATACCGCTTTTTGTTTATGGTAAGTGTTACTGAAGGCTCACCAAACAGTTCTCCTTGCTCTGTTCTGCCTCCATTGCTTTCTCTCTGGCTGGTCCTTCAGATGGGGATAGACACCAGCTCTCAGTCAGGTTCACCTGTGGGATGCCCTTTGCCATCATTCCCAGGGCTGCTCTGGGGACTGAACTGGAGCTCAATGTGCACCTATTACCCACCTGACTGGAAAAGTGCCTGGCATGTAACTAAAGTCCCCTGGCACATGGCTGGGCCCCACTCATCGACAAGAAAGTGAGTTTGTATTTTACTGTGTCACAACTGTCCTTTGTTGTGAAAAGTGATCAAAAGGTTAGAAGTATGTCTGCTTAAGAGAGTTTATCTAGTCTAAATCCAACAAAGTCCTTTTCTTCTTTTCTGTTTTATTTTTTTTAAAAGACACTTAGAAAAATGTCAGCTTCTATTTTACTTGTCTCCATTCCTCCCCTTGCCCCCCCAACATTTTACATGATGCTTAGCATTTGTACCTACCCCCAATCAGCATTGTGCATATGGAGAAGATCTTTTCAGCATCAGTATTGGCTGAAACGTTTCCAAATCCAACACTGGTGAGGCTGCTGAGGGTGAAATACAGGGCAGCTATATAGGCACTTCTGATTGATGGGCCTCCTAGTGTGTTATTCTCATAGTAAGGAGACTCAATACGTTTTCCTAGCTCATGAAGCCAACCTGAGAAACAAAGCATAAAAAGAACTATTAAGAAATGCTGACATCATGAAAGCTACACATTCTGTAAAACAAAATTATTCTTAAAACCCCCACATATTTAGAAGACTGCATTTTTCACATATTTCCAAGAATAAAAAGAACATTAAACTGTAGGAATTTATACAGCACATTAAGTATTGTGTCTCTGGAGTATTTGTTTTTATGCAAGATTATTTATTATAAGAACTGTATTTCTGTATGGAAATCAAGTGGTTTTGAATTGCATATAACAGGTCTAATTAGATAATTCACAAAATGCATTGAGGCATTGAAAAGAAAAAAAATCATCACCTAGTAACACTGCAGCAAGAATGCAACATCAATTTGATTCTTTCCATTAATTAATGCTTGGAAAGATTTTACAGAGTCTAAGACTAAATTGTTATAATAATAATTACACGTTTAGAGCTTTTCACGTTTCTTTTTACAGTAGAAAAAGCTCAAACAACTAAACATCACTTACAAAACAGAATTAATTTTCAAAAGATGCTTCAGTAAGTATTTTCTAAATTGTTCATTTAATCTTTCCTTTAATTTTGCTAAATGAGTCCCTAGTGCTAGAGAAGTAGAATTAACTACTGCCTTACAGATATTTAAAAAAATACAAGAAGCCAAGAAAAACAAAACAATACAAAACAAAAACAAACCAGGAAAAAATATGCAGTTCTTCTTCTGGAAAAGAGAAAGAAATTATGTGAATTAATTGCATAAAAACAATGCTTCACAAAATTCAAGGTAGAAAAAAAAATATCATTTTTTACGCCCAGTTTTGCCTGTTAAGCAGTTCGCTTGGGAGACTGGGAGTCTTTCCTGGATAGTCAGGGGAAATAAAACAAAATACAGTATTCCTGGCAGGCAGAGTTTTATTTTAGAAAAATTCACTGGAGTTCCCTCTGTTGTAAGCTGAGTACTGACAGACTGAATCACTTCCTGAAGCTTTTTCTTTATCCAGTCAGCACCTATTTCTTTGTTTTGGATGAATCCAAGCACAAACTGGAGGAAATCTCCTTGTACAGGCTTTTTTCAAAAGTAGTGGGTACATTTAAAGTATCTCTCCTAGCACTTTGAATTAAGTCGGGGAAAAAGGCTTCAAGAACTTGCAGCCTACATGAGACCTGTTGAGCCATGGCTGCGACCACAGGGGGCCTCAGCTCCATCATCTCTTGCATGAGCATGTTTCTTCCTACAGAGAAAGCTAAGCCAGAAGGGCTGGATAATGACAGAGTGAGGTATAGCCATGACCCTGCTGACCTACTCTATGCATGCCAGTGAATGTAATCAAAAGCGTAAATGAAAGTGCTCTGCCTACTTATAAGGTGGCAGTACTGAGTGTGCTGGCTTACCTTGCCAACAGATGAGAAAGCATATGAAAATCTCCTTGATTTTGCCTTGATAGAATTAATCACATGAGGCTATTTTATATTTGTGTCTCCTAATTATCTAAAATGAATGAAAAGTAAAACAAAAAAATTTAAAAAAACCTAACTGAACTGATACTGGTCCTCTCTCTGTGCATTATTGGATTTTTTGAGATTACACGACATGTCCCAACAATAACAATCCGCCTTTTGTATTGTGGATTTCATTTCCATGCTCATGTTAGAGAGTGTAATCCCACACATGAAAGAATAACAAATAAAAACCTAGGAACTCTAACAGACAGTAGAGGGAGTTAAAAAAATCCATCTAAACTCAATATAAATAAACACAATCATCAAGTTCAATGTCAGGTTTTGAAAGTATTCTAGTGCATACAAAGAATTGCAAAGTGAAAACATATGAAGCAAATTATTTAAAATAAGTGCAACTGATGTGTGAATATTGAGATGATTCCTCTTAGGAGAAAATCTCCTTCCTAGGCTTTAAAAACCACTGATTCTTGGCCACTGTATTCCCATTTTTCTGGCTTTTGTTATCTGAATGAATAATGAATAAAAAAAAAAAAACATTGAGTTTACCCATTATGCAAAACACTTTCCGACAAATACATTTTTATTATTTTCCAGAAAAGGTGGATGACTCAATTCTTTAATTGGTATATGTAAATGGCTTTTTCCTTTACAGCACACTTCATGTTCAAGGTTATCAAGAAAAAAACCCTAAGCCTACTGAAACATCATTGTTCCAAAAGGATGCACTACAGCTAGTAGAGGTAAGGTAAAAAATAAGTCAAAACCCAGTAAGTGTCTCCCTCTGATTTGTAGATAAGGACATATTTACAGCTCCTCATTTCTATTATGGCTGTTAGAGGTGATCCTAATCAGGACTTTTTGAAGAAATTATACAGGAAGAGGTTTCAACCAAAGCATATAAAATAGTGCAAGTTCTTCCAGATCAAGTATAATTCTCAGATTTTTGTTGATAGCACTGCCCATTTTTTTTGCCATTTGGAGGTAGAAACACAATATTGCTGTCTGTAAATATTTTCATTAGCCAATGGCAATAGTCATGAGGTAACGATCGATTAATGCCTTTTATTTTTTTGGTTCCTTTAGGTAACAGCTCTCAGCAGATTCTCTGGATAACCTGAGGAACTAATTTCTGCCCTTCATGAAAAAAGAGAAAAATAAATATAGTCAGAGGGAGCTTCCTAGAATTTAGCATTATGAATCTTGTCTGGTTCTGAATTAGCATCATCTAGATATAGCTCTGTAACTTTGAAAACACTTTTAAGCACCAATTAGCATGACTAAAAGGAAGATTTTTCAAAGTTATAAAGAACACTTAAGTAACCAAGTCCCATTGGGAAAGTCAGTAGGAATTGGATGTCTAACTTCATTAAGATACTTTGAAAAATGCTGGAAGAATCTGTATTGTGTTTCACTTCCCAGTATCTGGGAAGTGCTCAAGTACCCATAGAAACATAAACAAGCATTTAAGTAGCTGTGTATTCCATACTTTATAACTGGATGTAAAACACATTATCTCATTTACTGGACATCCAGAAACTCAGTCTTCCCTCAATCTGGTGCTTGTACTGCATTAAGCAGGTATATTACTCCCTACAGTCTGCAGATTCATTGTATGCTACTAATTAGATTTTCCATATATACCAGACACTTACCATACCACAAATCTGTCTGGTACTTCAACAGCCTAGAAAAGTGTTATGTTTTCTAATGCATTACCTACAGTATTTATTCTATAAACAATTTTTCCATTTAAAAAGTAGACCAAAACTATTTATTCAGCGCTACTGCTTCAGGAAGTGCAAAAAGGTACAACTGAGGAGTACCTCTTAGACCATCCTTGAATGCTTGAAAGCAGGAAGGGTTCCCCAGCAGAGCAGTGGCAATGATATTGGGAGAGAAAGGGTGGAACAAAGCTCACCTTCTCTCAGCTGTGCTTCCACATAAATTTCAGGGACTTTAAGTATTCGTAGGGGAAATGAAAAGGCAGAAAATCCTATGTGCTCACTGTACTTGTCTTTTTCATGTTAGTGAAAAAAGTAATCAGTGTTACACTGGTAGTAGGGAAATGGAATATATAATAGGTAATGCTGGGGTAAACTAAAGGAGACTGAATTGTGGGTTATCTTTACAGACTATGTTGCAGACCAAGTTATGGATTTCTGGCTGAGCTGAAAAACCCTGGAGCCCTACATGAAAGCACAAAGCATACCAATGGCTTTATTATATGTCACGTCTTCTTTATACTTCTCCAAAAACTAGAACTGTACCTTATGAAATAGCAGGTAATTCGAAACCATCTAAACCAAACAAAACCTAGAAATACTGGAGAACAAAAAAACAAAAAGTATAAATAAATCATCAAATACTGAAAAATAATAATAAAATTATCGAGAAATGGGGCACATATAACCATCTGATATTGATAGATTATAACTTTTACCACAGAACCTTCTATGTTTCATCTGTACTAATGTATGTTGCAGTGGATAGTTCAGGGTCATTACAAAAAAGGTAAAAGCTATACAAGAGAAATAAAGTCATTCATCACTGGAATTTTTATATGAAATATTTTTAAATGAAAATCACTATGTGTCTTGAGAGCTCTGTTGGCTCCCAGTGCAGCAATCCCTGGTCACTGCTGATACCTCCGCATTTCATATCCAGAGTGAGGCAGCAAGGTCTGTGTGGGAAATCACACCACCTTCTCATTACACAGATGCACATTCCAAACTGTAGATGATCATCCCATATTTCCATTTTAAATGGGAAAAAACTGTTGTGAAGATCCCATTGATCTCTATGAAGCAAAGATTTTAGCTTTTATCTCCCTCTATTCTGTTTCCTTGAAATATTAACATCCAAGAAATAAACCTTAGGGCAAAACAGTTGCTAAGATAGAACAAGTAGGTGAATTCCCTTCTTCTTAAATGTAAGCTCTCATGATTACAGTCTCTAAGACAGATTTTAGATGTCCAAATCACTTCCATCAACTGTCCATGTTGCTTCCTCAGAAGTTAAAGAGTATTTGAGAAGAGGAGACCAGAGCTAATACTGTATTTAAGATAAGTTGTTACCATAACTTTGTATAACAGTGTAATGAATATATTCTACCTTATCAAAGCTTTGTTATTATTCATTAGACATTAAAACATTAGCTTTGCTTTTAAGAATCCTTCCAAAGAATTTTGTAGGTACTTTCTAGCTGTTTCTGACTGATACAATACGTTAAAAATTTAGAGTTATTTAAGAAGGCTAAATCATTTTACTTCTAGTGTGCATGACGCTGCATTACTGAATAATCATTGCCTCTATTCTCATGGTGATTACTCATTTAAGGTATTCAAGTTCTTCTCAGGATCCTCAAAGCCTTTTTTATCCCTGTCTAACCAAAATGTTTTTGTCATCTACAATTTTTTTCCTCAAACTATTAAACCACTAAACAACACCATTCCTACTACTTAACCCTGTAGATCATCACTGTTACCCTTTCATTGTCACAAAACCTGATCATTTGTTTACAGATTTGAACTATGATGGAATTTTGCTTGT